TTTTATATGCAGAATATATTCAAGTCCGTTCAGTGAACCATTAAACAACACATTTTATCTCATTTTGATCGCATTAATGAAAGGTATTTACATGAATTTCGGAGGAAGTTGTTAATAACTTTATTGGAAGGTTTGGAATATGAAAGTGGACATTCGTTAATTTTTTTATTATCACTTACTTTACCGGTATTTTTGAATGGGAGAAAATTTTGTGATATTCAATGCAGACGCTCAATTTTTGGGTTTTATAATTAAGACCTTTGTTTAAAAAAGTTTAATATAATACATCAATCTCATTATTTACCAACAGGATCATCTAATTTAGCATAGATCTAAACCTAATCTAACTTCTGGGTACCATAATGCTTTATAGAATTGTTTGTGGAGACTTTGAAGTTCTAAAATGGAATCAAATTGAATTTATAAAAACCAAATTCAGGTTTGTCTAAACTCAAACTTTAATATATCCACAGAATCTGGAATCTAAACATCCTTGAGAATAGCACTATCTAGTTCTTGTTGGATCTAAATTCCTTCAATCGTGGCTACACCCAGACACTTCAACTGACCTCTATGTCCTCTTACTAAAATTTAAATTTATATCTCGATTTCATTCATTCGGCTAAACTTTCAAGCATTACTTTTTTTATTTAAGCTTCCAATTCCCAATTTTAATTAGACAAAAATGTTTTCAAAACTTTTATGCAACATTTTCAGTTTATTTATGAATAAATTCTATTTTATCCAACATGATAAAAATAAAATTTGAAAAATAAAATTATTGCATTGCTTGCAGACAGAAAAAACTTTTCCTTATGCTTATTTATCTGCAGCATTATGAAAAATCCACATACGATTAAGAGGCGAATAAAAAGCATATTCTTGTTATGAGGTATATAGTGCAGCAACAGCAATAGCAAACAAATTTAGGAGTGGATAAAAAATACTCGAAAATCAATTACACAATATTGAACGGCAAGCAAACATAGTGCTCGATATTGAGAAGAATGTAGTGAAAATTGCATGGATAGCATAAAAAATTTCAATATCACTTTTGATTAAATTTAATTTTTACGAAGTGCAATTTTACGAATTGGACGAGTGTGGGTCGGATATGTCGATAGAAAACGGGTTGGAAAAATTGGAGGAAGTTTATCAATTCTACAATAAATTGATGAGACTGTTTATAAAATTATTGACGTTTAATTGCTGTCGAAGTAGAGCCTCTGATGGTTCAAACCATATGAAGGCGAATTTGTCAGTGCGAAAGTAAGTTCTCAATGGCCAAGTGGTTAAGCAACATAACCTCTTCTTTGTAAATATCTGGGTTCGATTCCTTTTAGAGAAGAAACTAGTAGCATTTGTAGCAACAGCTAGCAAGAATGAGGAACTCAAGCGCTGTTTCCGTATATTCAGCAAGTTTATACGAAAGCAGCGCTTGAATTCCTTTTGCTTCACAGTCAAATTTACTCTCGTATAGCCCTAGAAATCAGCCCTAAAACTCCAACAAACTTTCCCCTTGTTTTCTAAAATATTGATTCATCCTTAAATTTCAAAACTACATCCAATCCTCTTAATAAGCTTCCAACCCTGCAAACAACAATATCCAAAAGAATAAACGAAAAAAATTTCCAATTTAAATTCGTTAACCTTCCGTTTCTGTTTTATAGCTATCTGTATCTGACATACACATGAGAATATGTTTACAGCTATTATTGCTGGGGCATTTTAATCGTTTAACATTCGTTATCATATGGACAACACCCTTAAATTCTTTGCTATTGTAATCGTCGAGTATGCAGATATGGATTGTTAAAGTGAATATGCACATAAAAAAAATCTTTTTTGCTTAACTCTGTAAACATGAAATTTGTTTGCTATTAGTGCTGTTTACATGATTGAAATAATTGATATGTGCATTATGAAAATTAATTTTGACTTCCTGCAAAATTATCAAATATCTTCTGAATTGCAGGCACAAAGGAAATATTTCATTTGAAAGGTTTTTGGGCGTACATTAAGAAAATAAGATTAACTTTCAAAGATACAGATGTAAAGAGATGCTATAAGGAAGTACCAGAAAGTATCATTGCTAATGAGCACGATATTAATTTATTAATAAACTTATTCAAAGAGACCTCACGGTCTCTCTTTATATATTCACAATGATCTTTATTGTTTCATAATCAGAAAGAGACTGAATATTCATATGAAGGGGTTAACAACTATACAACGGGAAGCATACCAATTATATTTGCATACATAATTTGAACATTAAATAACCGTTACTATATTCTCAACAATCGTCAATTCCATAACTTCCAATATTTTGAAATGTTCATCAAAAAAAAAATAAAGAAGTGATCGCCCTTCCTATTATGTATCTATGAGAAATAAATTAATTACTCTAAAGGCGAAAGTAATTTCTACTTTTCAATCACAATGTACGGACACGATGCTGCATAATGATGAATTTATATTACATATAATTTTTGAAAGTTCACGGAACAGGCTAATGACTCAATCAAAAATATTTTTTTAAATCCTATCGCAATGAATCTTTAATGGAGGAGGGAAAGGCGAGTAACGCACACTTTATATTGATAAAATGAATTGAATATCCATTCACGAATTGATTTTTAATTAGAATGTCTATCAAGGAGAAATTGACATGCTAATTGGTTTGAGATGGTTGAAAATAAGTCCAATGCCAGAAGCTATATCATTAAATTTTGCGAAATTTGTTCGTGCCAGTAAAAAATAAATTCATAAAAGCTAATTCAAATAGAAAAAGAAAATCACTCAAAGACTTAAGATAACAAGGAATCGATAAGTATGTGGATAACATCTGAAGCATCATCAATAGATATCAAGTGACACTACCATCAAGTATCAAACAATCAACCTTAATTACAATATTTACACATTTTATCGCCTCTAATCAAAATAGAAAAGCTCAATTAAGACTAATGTAAAATAAATGTAAAGACATTAAATTTTCCGCACAGCTCAACGTGAAAATAGTTCTAAATTTTACTTTAATATTTTTTAACAAATGCATGGTTCCGCAACATAAAATGTGAAAATATAGAAAACATTCATAAATCTAAATGTACGAGTATGTTTTTGAAGAGAAGAAAGAAAAGAAACATTGTCTTTGATGTTAAGTCTCAAGACAGAATAGAAATCATAATGTGTGCCATTAGTGTAATAAGAAAATCACTTTTGTATGAAGTTGTGATGGGAAAAAAATTGATTTATTGTAGGAAGTTGGAATTAAGGGCTTATCTGGAGTGTTTGGACTTTTAATATTTTTTGATTTAAGTCTTTAGAAGATTGTTTTATCAATGATATCGTTATGGACATGCAAAACCATATCCACATCTAATCCTCAACATAACTTAGTCTTATTATCTGTAAACTCCCAGATAATTAAATAGCTATCGAATATATGACGCAATATGAGAAAAATTCCTCAATAAATTCTTTAAACACAAAATTACATCCCAAACTTTATTACTGCTTCATATTAAACGTAAATGCAAAGCGATTTAGCAGAAAATAATTGCGGTAAATTCTCTATTATGATCGATAATTGGAATTTGCTTCATTAACGAAATGAGACTTCATTAAATTACATCTAACGAGATCAGTCATGGAATTATCAATTTTGATGGTTTTTTAAAAAGAGTGCATTTATAAATAGGCAGAATCTGAGATTGGTTTTGATTAAAATCTTGTAAATCTCATCCAGAGATAAATAGAGGGAATTTTGTCATTGATAGGAAATTGGGACATGCAAGGTTGAGTGGTTTAGTTTATATTAATTCATGAGTTCGATTCTTATTCAGGATCTTACAAGCTTTTCCAAGATATCACTTTGAAGATTCGAAATTCGAAAAATAAGAACCTCGAAAATTCAAAGTTCGAACAATAAGAACTCAAAAATTTCTATTTGCTAACATTGGAAACAATGATTAAAATTCAATTGAAATATCTGCATCATTTGAAAATATTTCAATCGATTTCAATTTCCAAAACTACCAGACACAATTTTAATAGCTAAAAGCTGAAAATTACTCAATTCCTTTCCTTTTTTTATCACATCAAAAATATTCCAATCCACAAGCAATTTCATTGTGCACTCAAATTTCATGCATACATCCAGACAGAAATAGAAAATGTTTTAGAAAGAATTTCTGCATGCACAATGGCAAGGAATTTTATAGACGAAATTACATTTTGATGATTTAATGGAATTCAATTAAGTGTAAAATTACTCACTCAATCTATAATCCCTCAAAAAAAAGTACCATGATGTGAAATTTCTATCGACAAAAAAAAAGTATTCATCTCGTAGCTTCGAAATATTTGTCAATTGGATTTATGCAAAATGTAAGAAATGATGACAGTCTTCGACAATAGATTGAAAAATTGAAAAGGAAAGAGTGAATGAATGCAAAAATGGTAAAATTGAAAGTCAAGAAGATTTTTTTGTTGATGCTGATTTGAAAAGATACGGATTAAATTTTCACTTTGTGTGACTGGATAGTCATGAAATAAAAGCTTTTATTTGAGAACAAAGATAAGATTTGGAAGTCATAAGTCATAACTTCCCACCCCTTGCATAATTTTAAAAAATTGATAATTTTGAAACTTAAATAACCGTTAAAATTTGAAATTTAAATGACAATTACATAAAGAATCTATGAAATCTCAAAAATATCATATCCAATTCTTCAATTTCAAAAGAAACACAACATCAAGTATTGCACAAAAAAGCGCCTTACTCCCACGACGACTTCCCAACTTCCTCTTTTATCACAAAACATTCGAAAACGGAACGCTTTCCAGAAATTAAACCAATGCATAAAATGTGATTGAATCTGTTAGCAGTAAGCAGCAACAACAACGATGGAAAAAAAAAGTGCGAAAGTTGAATGAACCTCAATTCGAGAGATTCTTTTGTATGCAAAATAATGTTTTTTATCTTCACTTACCGCTTGGGGAACAGCATCATTCTCCGACTTGATTTGAAGAATAAATCCATTTGCATTTAGATGATGTCGTCAAGAAGTTTATGCTTAGTTATTGAGAATGCAACGAAAAAAGTTTTTACTTTTTCCGTTTTGAATGAATTTTTTTTTTATTTTCACAATTAAAGCATGTATAGCTTGATGAATATCATCCAAAAAAAAAAAGCGAGGGAATCTCTTTTCACACCGTGGGACACTTTCTTGTCTTGATTAATAGACTTTTAGCACTTAAACTTTTTATGTATATACAAAGTCTTTTGTTCTTTGACACTCTGCGAAAAAAAGAGCTTATTCTGCCTGGCTTTACATGTGAAGAGAGGCTTTCTTGATTGTTTATGTAAATAGAAAATATCTTTAAAATCGATGACGTTTGGTCAGCACAAAATTTGCTTACGGTACTTTCGAAAAATAAAATTCACTTTTTTTTTATTAATTACACTGATTTGACTTGACCGTATGATTTCAGTTTATGGAACCAGCATAAAGCAATTAAGCTGAGAAATTTTATTTTTCATTCGACTTATCAGGAAAAGGAAATCTCAAGCTTGCGTCACATAAAAAACATAGAGTCTAATTTATTGCCATCCAGCCAGCAGAAAAATTTAGAATTTATATGTATTTTGTGTCCAATTAAATTTCATTTATGGTCAGCACAAAAGAACACACAAAAATAAAAAATTCAGCCACGCGAAAAAGAAAATATTAATGTTGAAGCGAACCGAACGACTTTGAAGCGTATAAGTGACTGAGTTATAGTAAGAAAAAAAATATATAATAAAGCTCTTGTGTCTGCAATTACAATTTTTTACCTTCTTTTTTTTCGACGATTTTTTTGTTGTTGTCGGCTTAAATATTATTACTATTTTTCACGTTTTCTTACAACTCTTATTTGTTGTTGCTTTCTGTCTGCTGCTGCTGCTTTAAGTTTGTTACGACAATTCTCTCTTTCTCAGCATTGCTCGCTTACTTTTCAATTTCATTTCGCTCTTTAAATGTCTTAACTTTATTCCTACCTATGCTTATCATTTCTCGTAACAGATTTTTAGACTCAGCACGGTGTTGGCGTTTTTGTTTAGTTCTTTTTCTTTGTACATTTCCAACTTCTTATTCATAAATGAAAAAAAAACTGAGTTAGACTAATGGTTGGCTCACTTCATTGCAGTTAAGCTCTCTTACTCAATTATCTACCGCAAGAGGTCTTACTCTTACTGTACTTCTTTTGAATTTAGGCACTTCCATGCGAAGGTAGATGTTTTTGGTCTTTAGAACCTTTAGCAACTCGAGGTTTTTAAATGAAATGTTCTGTAAATCTGCAAATGGAATTTTCTGCTCTTTCTGGTAGTTAAGGTTGAATAAGGATTGGATTAGGGTTAGAGTTGGGTTAGGATAGGGTTAAGTTGGGGTTGAATTAGGGTTGGGTTAGGGTTGGGGATGGGTTGGGTTAGTGTTGGGTAAGCATCGATCAATTCAAGAAGGGTACAAACATGCTCTTGATTGAAATCTTCGCTGATCATGCTGGTCGATCAGCTGCTTGTAAGGGTTGGGTTAGGGTTGGTTTAGGGTTGGGGATGGGTTGGGTAAGGGTTAAGGTTAGTGTTGGGTAGGGGTTAAGGTTAATTTTGGGTTAGGGTTGAGTAAGGGTTAGGTTAGGGTTGGGTTAGGGTTGGGGATGGGTTGGATAAAGGTTAAGGTTAGTGTTGGGTTAGGGTTGAGTAAGGGTTAAGGTTAGTGTTGGATTAGGGTTGGGTTAGGGTTGGTTTAGGGTTGGGTTAGGGTTGGTTCTTAGTAGGGTTAAGGTTGGGTTGGGGTTGGGCTAGAATTGGATTAGGGTCTATGTTATTTCTATTATTAAGAGACCATTGATTACTAATCATTACCAATTTCTTTTTAAACTAATATAAAACAACCCAATAAACAATGAAACGGTGATGAACTGGTGTACAAATGTCGAGTGTACCTAGGGTCGGTATAGGATTGGGGATGGGTTGGATAAGGGTTAAGGTTAGGGTTGGGTTGAGTAAGGGTTGGATTAGGGTTGGGTTCGGGTTGGGTTACGGTTGGTTCTCAGTAGGGTTAATGTTGGGTTTGGGTTGGGCTAGGGTTGGTTCTCAGTAGGGTTAAGGTTGGGTTTGGGTTGGGCTAGAATTGGATTAGGGTCCATGTTATTTCTATTATTAAGAGACCATTGACTACTAATCATTACCATTTTCTTTTTAAACTAATATAAAACAAACCAATAAACAATCAAACTGTAATGAACTAGTGTACAAATGTCGAGTGTACCTAGGGTCGGTATAGGATTGGGGATGGGTTGGGTAAGGGTTAAGGTTAGTGTTGGATTAGGGTTTGGTTAGGGTTGGTTTAGGGTTGGGTTAGGGTTGGTTCTCAGTAGGGTTAAGGTTTGGTTGGGGTTGTGCTAGAATTGGATTAGGGTCCATGTTATTTCTATTATTAAGAATCATATCAGAATAGAGAAGAAATCAAATCTAATAAAATTCTGAGTTCACTAGACTTAATCAACCATAAGAATCGAACCCAAAGCCTCACTCACTCTTCAAAGACTCACTTGCTCATTTCCCTTGAAAGAACATTCTTATAATCTCACAGAATTCCCTTCATTTGACTCGATATTCTGAACAGTACTTTGCAATGATGCCTACCTCTCTAATCATAAATCCACATGGAAGCTCATACCTCCTCCTAAATTTTAATTTATAAAACTCATCATCGCTGTAGATTTTCGCGTAATCGAGCTGAGATTTAATCAAGAGATGAATTAAAGAAGAGGTAATTGGGCTAATGAACCGCTGAATGGTCAATTTTGAGAAATAAAATGTAATGTAATTTGATGTAGTGAGAAATGAAAGAAAGAGAAGCGAAAAATGGAATAGAATAATGAAATGCTTAGAAACAGTGGGAAGTGTAGAAATGAAAATGTTATCTAAAGCTATTTCCTTCGCTTAGCGTACCCAAAATATGTAGCATTGTTCAAATATATTTTTATGCACTCACCTATATTTAAAGTAGTCTCTTGAGGTCTTTTTTGTCTTGTGATTTTGGGTCAGCGTGCTGGAGATTAATAACAGAGCCATGAATATCTTGGAGATAGCATTTGCGACGTGACAGTAATGATGACAATTTTTTTAAATTAAACAATCATTTGAATGGAACTTGAGCGAAGATAAATTTCTTAATTTCTTTGAACCAGCACAATTAGTAACCAAGATATAAGGCAATTGATATCATAATTTCAGCCCAGTTCTCGTCAAAATCGTGACCTGATGGTGTTTTGAGCTAATGACAACCAAATAATAAATATCATTACATGTCAGCCTTAAACCTGTAATTTAATTCAATTTTTATATCACTCATTCATCTTGTATACACAGAACAACAAATTGACATGCCTGGTGACCTATTTACTTAAGAAATTTTGTTCATGCATTTTTTATGAAGCAAATTTTACACGAGGTTGATGAACTTCTTCTTTATGTAATTAGACATGATTATTATTATTATTATCATTACTATTCATTATTGGAGTATACTTAGCAGAGTTGGTGATGGAATTTATGTTTTAACATCTATATAATGAGGACCTGGGTTCAATTCCCAACGGAAGCTGATTCCTCTCAGTGGTTTAGAGATTCAATGAGTTTAAAGGCATTCAGTCAAGCTAATCTCAAAGTTTTCGTCTATAGACATCATTTATTAGCGAATGCTGAGATTTTATTGCCCTCATAACCAAAATCAGCAACACATTTCCGTTATCTTCAAAAATTTCTCGGGTCAGTAATATTACACACCAAAATTAGACTATAAAACCCACGACATAACATCTTAAATACCTTTTATAGAAGCTTCATTCCCAACACTGTTAAGTATGTCTTTAATATTTGCAGCCTTCATCTCTCATGCGGAAGAGAAAGAGTAAACAGAACAAAAGAAATGTTCCTCTCTTTTGTGGCATTTCATTACGTTAGTCTTCCCTCCTTCTTGTGGTTTATGTCATCCATTAAAATTAGCTGTATTTAAATATTATTCTGTGATATTTCAGACTTTACATGCTTATTATTTACATATGTTTAAATTGTGTTTAAGAATATGTGTCACTCCATGTAATTTTTATTTAAAGATATTATTAAAATCTTGTGTTCTGCTTCTGAAAGTATGACTCGTGTTTTTTTCTCGGTGCTCAGATATGCTTTCTATTGTGCGGTACCTGATGATGGCTTTTGAAATTAGGTTATTCAATTTTGGAGTCTCTTAAAGACAACACTTTGCATTTTGAACTGAAAACATTTTCTTCTTTTATTCTTTCATGGTCAAAGATTTTTTTTCGGAAGTGCTAAGTGGTTTAGTGATGTCATTATGATATGGTAAAAAGTGTTATGGTTTCGCACTTTTTTCAGATTATTAAGAATGATCCACAAGATGGCAACAAGTTCGCAAATAACTTCAGTAAAGACATTGAATTTTAAAGCTTTCCTAACTGCCTCCCTAATCCCCCTTCGACAGATTCAAGCGACATTCATCAATGTCTAAAAATATCCATCAAACACCATCTGTTGATTGATTATCGGTATTGGATGTTGTTGATATAAAATTAATTACTACAGGTTTACGTTCACTTAATCAGTAGTAAATATCCATTCGGTGAAATGTTGTGGAATAATCAATATATTATTTTATTTATATCTGTGTCATACCATAGAATTGTGAAGAGTAACGAATTTGGTATTTGTGTGTACAGTTGTGGATAAAAATCATTCATTATGCAAATACAGCGGTGGTTTCACGAGAGCAAATATTAGTAAAACGCGCGAATACTCTGGTAATATCGAATTTTATGTGTCAATATTTTGTTGCGATGAAGTGCGGCAGAAAAAGTGGTTTCATTCTACTTTCAACCACTTTTTTGCGTACGTATACTTTTTATCTCTGTTTATCTTTGCCTTTTAAGGCATCAAATTTCAAATTCTTGCGAGGTTTCACGTTTCAATGAGCTCTAATGCTTTTATTTGAGTGTTTGTAAGTAATTTGTCTATTTTTTCGGGTTTATATGCTTAAGCATCATGGAATTCTCCTTTAATTAAGCAGAATTGTGATATTAAATGTTTGAATTATGAAACAAGACTGAAAATCTGAACAAAAGATGTGGGGTGTGCAATTATACAATTTAGAAAACGATTTAAGTCCCAAAATACCGTTAAAATTTCATTCAATTTGAGAATAAGTGAACGCCTCTCAAAAATGTTTTGATATTCAAATTGTACTTTTAACTTTCTAACAATTTAATATTTGACTGACAGGAGTACATTGTGTTGTAGAGAGTCTTGAAATATTCTTAACACGACCCAAATTTAACTCTCGAAAAGATTCATTTGAGCAGAAAATATGCAAATTTCATTAGATACCTAAAAGCTTCTAATTGTGTCATGTGCATAAAGTTAGAAGTAGACCAGAAAAAACACTGCGCTACGTAATCATCATCATCGTGCCTGTGACGTGATTATATGTTGACATATGAATAATAAATTCACGTTTCTAGTAAACATTTAAACATTGCAGCACAGAAAAAATTTTATGCTGAAAGTGAAAAAAAAAATATGCTACACATGCGTTAGTTTAATGTTATTGCCCCTACACTCTTTTTTCGTACGTTATTTATTTTTTTATTTTTATCTTTTAAAAAAACAGCATGTAAAATTAATTACATGATGTTGTCAGCTGCAAAAGAATGTGCATATATGATAAAACAAAATAATTTGTTGGATGTTTCACAATCATGTTTTGCAAGTTGTCGTACTGGAGGTTCAATGACTCGAGCATCTTTTTGAATTTATTGAGCTATGACAAAATTGCTATAGTTATGAATTTTTGCGACCGATGACGCCAGTGTTGATGTTTTGGGTGCGTGCTGAGGTTAGGATTATTATGAAAAGCTTGAATTTAGAGTTTTTGAAGTGAAAGACTCTTGAATAGAGTCAGAGTGACTCCTTCATTGGGTTCATTTGAGTCATATTTTAGAAATATTCAAATAAATTGAATTTCCACCTGTTCGAAAAGCTTCTCAACAGAAGACAAAGTCAAGGACTCTTGAACTTAATATCTATCTTCTTTTAACTAATCATTGATGTTTATAACAAAGATAAGATTCCATGCATAAATTAATCAGGTTCTACATACATTATCGCTCTGTCAACGCAATTGCTTCATAATTTACATCACATAGTCATGTTATTAATGATTTATTCATTAAATCTCAATTAGTTCATTTTCATTATGCACCCTAATATCATATTTAAAAGAGAACCTTCAAACCTTCAATCACAATCAGATTGATGATAATTTATGTCATAAAATGACATCGTAATCATATTATTATTAATAATTATTATCATTAGACATAATTCAAAAGTTTTCTAATGCAATTTAGAATATGGATATTCTTCGGCTAGTTACCATAATTCCATTATATTCAATTTACATGTTAAGTTAAATTACTTTTTGACATTATTGTTATCATTACCCGAGAGTGATTCATAAAATATTAAACATCATTTGACATGATTAGTAATTGACAATTGTGTATGCAACTTATGAATACAATTTTCATTATTATATCCTTGTACCTTACTATTATATTCTAATAGATTTATAAATCGATAAGTCTCGCAGCTTAAAAATGTGTAACGGTCGAAAAATATTTGAAATATTCATTTCATTTCAGTTCACAGCTGTTTGTTTGTAAACATTTAAACGTTTGTAATTTTCACGAAATAATTGAAATTCATTAAGATTTCAATAGTTAAATAGTGATTTTAAATGCATCCGGATTTATCATCGCATTTACACACTCCTGAATGTAATATACTGATTAGTCAGTTAAAGGAATGTCACGAAACTGTGAGTTTATTCATTTTTTTGACTTTATGAATATTTTAGGCTAAAGTTTGTTTAATTAAGCTTATCTTGAAAGCTAGTTTGGTCAATTTTACTTTATATGCATCATGTGATTAATTGGCATCTTTAAAATCTTATGTTCATAATCATTTAAGCAATAAGAAATTTTTCTGGATCATTTGAGATCCAGTACAGCAAATATTTCAAATTCGATGCTGCTAATTGGGCAATTCTCCAGATGAGTTGAGTTTTTGAAAAAAGAGCTTTTATAATCCAAAGACATTTCCTGTTTGATTTCATTTTTTTTTTTTGTAAATATCTTGTCAATTTCTTTGTTTTGATTGCTTAAAGCAACTTTAAACTGTTTATTACGATTGATTCTTACTGAATCAACAATAATTCAACCATGAAGTGTTAAATTAAGACTAAAATTTAATTTTTATGAAATATTTGCTTTGCATTTTTTATTATGGACTTGCAAAATAAAACCTTAATTTTTTTGCTGTCAGCAAAAAAATCTACCGAAGAATCAAAAATTCTCTTTAAATAGGGTAAACCATGTTGAAATTTGTGTGTTTTTGCACTTGAAGATTTCATTTGCTTATAACTTTTTCATGTCTTACTGTAAAAATTTACTGTTGGTCTTAAATTATCAAAAATTGTTTGAATTTTCATTTTTTTATACTTAGTGATGGTTATGCTGCTTATAGGAAGAAAAATTTGACATTTTTGGTCAAATGTTGAAATTTGTGCGGAAAATTTTACACTATTAAAACCAAGCACATTCTACAAATGTTTTTTTCCAAAATTTATTCACGATAAAGTTTACAGAATTTTGCAAAATTGTTTTGAGAAATAAAAGAAAGAAGAATATTTTAACGAAGTTTATTGTGTATAATCTATTTTTGAAATTTCTTGATTCTTTATGAATATTTGAGTCGAACACATTTTTCATTACTCTCAGTTCATGTCTTCTTCGTGTTATTTTTGTCTTAATCTTGATTCATGCCTCTAAAAACCCGATTTTGATTATAAATAATTATTTTTGTTGACAAAATGTGCCATTGCTTTCTACGACAAAAAACACACATATTTCAAAATTTTTTAAAAAATTTCGCACAAATTTCAACATTTGAAAACAACTCATTTTAAAATCAATTTTTGAAGGACTTCCAATGACTTTTCGTACGCAGAAACTTTTTTAATCGAAAAAGCAATGAAGAAAATTTGTTTTTTTACTCTGGTAGGGTAAGAAGAATCAAATGAGTCCAAATAATTAAAAAGATAAAAAACTTTCATTTTGTATAGGATTTTGAATAATTGAAATTTAAAGCTATAAGAACCTTCAACACAATCCAAAATGAAGTAGAAAAGTTTTAATAACTGCTTTACAAAAAACTGCATACAGATTTTTTCTATAAATGGTTTAGTTTAGATGATTTACATTTCATTTGATCGCACATTGAAAAAATAGAATTTTAAAATTTTGAATTCTTTATTTTTTCATGGAATAAATCTCTCCGTTACTTAGTAACATCTTTTTAAGTCACATTGAAATTAAAATTGAAGCTTAATTAAGCACTTTTGAATTAATTTAATGCTAGATTTTGGTAGCTTGATAATCACTCTTTGAGTTGTGACAGTCTTTATTATTAACAAACTGCGAAAAGGAAAGAAAAATCGCTTTAAGTGAGTCTCCAAATTATTTTTTCTTCGATTGTGTTACTAAGTAACGCCAAAAGAATTGAAATAATTCTTTAATTAACCACTATAAGTAAGCAAATTTCAGTCAATTAAATAGAAAATGATGTTTTAAATGACCTACGAAACGCTTATTTGCAGTAGAATAGTCTAAAGATGTAAAAATCAATTTGGAGAAAAATTTGTAGACAAATCGTTTCATGGAATTGCCCATAATCATAATAAAAAATGAGTGTTTACTTTTCTTCAATTTTCGATTCTCCTTATGATTATTCCATTTTTTGCTGACAGTAATTTGCAAAAAAATTGAAAAAATTTAATTATTGGCTACTTTCAAAGACTTAAATAGATAAAATATAATAGTTTTTGCCACTTTACATCGATTTAAATGTAAAAGTTATGCTTGGTAATGGAAAATTTTCGAGAAAATTTGATTCTCCGGATGATTTTTTGAAAAACTTACCTGGAGAATTGCCCAATTGTCAATAAACTATCTTCTTCAGCTCCTCTACATCCTCTGCTTAACTTAGTGCCTTTTTCATCAATACAATCCTTTATCAGCAATATTTCTTTTAATTTAATTTAAGAAAAAATTCCAAAAGTTTCTCGGAGCTTGTAGTGATATCGACAGGACAGTCCAAAGGTGTTTAAAAAAGGAACTAGCCGATAATAGAAAGAAGAATTTTGATCAATCAAAATTGAATAGACAGAAAGTTTACGAGCGAATGAGACAAGAAGAACAAGCTCAGAAACAATAGTTTAGCATCTAAAGTATTTAGCCAGTAGGACATAAAGTTATGGATAAATATTATCTTAATGAGGATGAATATGATGAAGGGATTCCATCAATAATAACATATCTTGATGAAAGTAAGCCATTTCCATCATTTGTTGATCGATATTTCAGTCGATTCTATTGTAAAAGAACATCAGAGAATGGTGACAATGAGGATCACTTGATTTTATTCCATACTAATGGAGTTTGCTTAATTTCAATCGCCAAGAGTCATATTGCATTTAAGAAAGGCATTGAAAGCGTTAATTTTGACATTGGAAATTGCGATCGTAGCCAAAATCAAGTCAAAGGCAAGCATAAGAAAGGCGCTATGAATCTTCAGAAAAACACAACAGTTGCACTCATCAAGACTCTCGATGGAACTGAATATAAATTGTTCAGCTGTATTGTTGGAAAGTTGTTGGAAGTAAACGAGAGTTTAAATGATGACATCAAGAAATTGGAAGTGGAAGGACACGGCTACATTGCTGTCGTTTTACCAAAAATGTCCAATGCTGGAAAAGAAAGGGAATCACTTATCACTGATACCGATTATATCCCATCATAAAGAAATCCTCAATAAAAAAAAAAGTTTTGGAAAAAAAATTCAACATTTTTATTTCAAATTCAATATTTTTAATATTTTTTTTACAATCTCAAAAAGTTTTAAATAACACATTATTTTTAAAATTTTTATTGTCGTCTCTATCTGCGATGTCTAATGATTTTATTGTTTGTGTCTCTCTCTTTCAGTATCTTTATGCAATTAGAAAATCACCAACACCCACCATTTTTTTTAAATAGAATTGAAAGTAGTTTTAAAATAACGAGATAAATACGTATGAGATAATAGATAACAAAATAAATAATTATAAAGATTGATGAGGATTTTTAACGCATTTTCCCATTTCAAATTTCTTAGAACCGTTTGAATTTGAATTTTTGAAAACCGATGGAATTTAAATTTTCAAAATCCGTTAGAATTTGAATTTTTAAAATCCGTTAAAGCAGTTTATAAGGAAAATCCGTCTTAATCGCCCTGAATTTATTAATGGCGATAGAAGCAAGTACCTAATTTACTCCTTTCAATGATGAATAGCTAAAAAATATCTTCATTATAAAATAATTTATGGTTAAAAAGCGGTATGAGAAAAAAAATTTTATGATCAACATCAGCTGTTTAAGAGTTATTTTTATAATTCGTGTGTGTATGTGTGTGTCTTTATGACTCATCGTCATATCTTTTATTCTCTCTCTCACAAAACATAATGTAAAAATTTTTAAAATTTCTTCAAGTCGCACATTTTTTTCTGTTTTAAAATTTTTATGGACATTTATTTTTTGTGGATTAAGTGAATGTGCTAATCTACTGAATGACTTAGTTTCTTTTCTTTTTTTTTTGGTTCTTTATCGAGAATTTAATTTAACTGGTGGCTCAGTAGTTGTCTGATTACAATTCTCGTCGAATTCTTTACGCAACTTAGAGTAATTCTCTTCGAGCAACTTCTTATACTTTCCTACAAGCTCTGGTAGGTCATAAGCAATTGCAATGTCTAATTTATTAATTGGACAGCCTTTGAAGTATGTGCAAGTTTCGGATAATTTCTTGAATTCATAAAGTGGATTCAAACGGAAGAATTCCAAATATACTTCGGGATCAGGAAGATCGTAACGTGAGATATTTGTGAGAGTCGATAATCCTTCGTAAATGTTATAGTTTTGAGGATGTTCGATGATCTTATCGGAAACTTGTTTCTTGTTGCTGAACAGTGACTTTTGGTTGTAGTAAGTTGTAAGATAGCAATCAACCATCTTGGCGTGATTACGAATGCGAACCTGAGGATGGATATAAAGTCATAATTGATGTTACTTCTAGGTTACCTCTAAGGCCGTTCATAAATGAAATCCTCTTCTCTCAAAAATGTACGTCATTTATGAACAAACCCCGTTCAATAAAACTTACAGCAAAGCGACGAGCACTAGCAATCTTATTCTCAATTCTCTTATCAACTGCCTCGCGTAAGTCAGTAAGCATAGCACGTTCTTGTGCTTGCAATAGACGGACTGGAGCCCCATGTTCGTAGGGATTTGACCATAATGAGACAGTATACATGACTGGAGGTTGAGCAGATGACATTAATGGTGAAATGTTCCAAATCAAAGCACCTTGAACGCGGAGAAGTTCTTCAGGCTTGACTTGATCACCCTTGTTCAACAAAATTCTCGTCTGATATTCACGTCCCTTTAATTGATCAAGAATGGCTTCTGTTTCTGGACCAACATCCAATTTTGCTGGATCATAGACCAAAAAGATGATATCAGCACGATCAATAAACCATTGGCATGCGTCATTGAATGGGAAGTAACGAGAAACTTGCTTACGCACTTCCAATATACCGGGAATCTCAACAATATTGACCTAATAGACATAAAAAAAAGAACTATTTTACATTACAGGATTTTGTGGTGATTTTCTTTCAAAAACATTTGTGCTATTTATAGTCTCGACGATTATTTTTAGTGACGGCAAATAAATGAAATAGCATATGTGCACATACGAAAATGTTCTCTTACGAGATTCACTCGCAATATAGCCACATTAAAGAAAATATAATGATGATGTTGTTGATGAAAAGTTTTACAATAATAATTAATGAATTGATGTTTTTCAAAACAATTAAATTGTTAGTAATTAGACATGCTACTTGTGTAGCGGAAATTAATAATTCGATTTGTTTATGCTACAAATCAAAGTTTATAACTCAATACATACACGTTCTAACAGTTTGCTGGGAAGCTTTTGACCTCTCAAACGATCCATAAGACCTTGTCCGAACTTTTGTAATCCTGAGAATGTCCAATCAGCTGCCAATTGTGTTCCATCAAGAACTTCTGGTTCATCTCCATGCATAAGGATATTAAAGTATGCTGGTGATGGCTCAGCACCAGATCGAATTGAGGTTTCTCTGTATTCATTGTCTGTCAAGTAATTCAAGATTGTCGACTTTCCACCCGAGTATGGTCCCATAAAGACAATCAATGGTTTTGAGAAAATTTCTGGATCACCATAATGTCTGTTGCTAAGTTCACGGTACTTGTACATTGTTTCAAGTGGCTTGATTGCGTTATCATAAATTTTCTTCAATTCCTTGAGAACAACATCGCCAGTACGCTTGAGGGCATTTTCTAATAGAAATTATTCGTAAGTTATTAGATTTTTATGCATTAAAAATAGTTTACTGCTTACCCTTGATTGATGACTCAGCATCTAATCCCAATAGCTGAGTAATGTGACTACGTGGACGCAAATTTGTTGGAATTTCATATCCCTATTAATGGAATCAAGTGAATTATATGTTTTAATGCAACCTTAATGTATATTACCAATGTTAAATCCTCTTCAGCGGCATCGTTGTCTTCATTTTCAGCTTCTGGGGTTTCCTCATTAGAGTCTACATCAGCTCCTTCTTGTGAACTTTCTTCCTTAGTGTCATTGGCTTCTGCTGTGTCTTCCTTAGTATCATTATCATCTGCTGTGTCTTCCTTAGTGTCATTATCATCTACTGTGTCTTCCTTGGTATCATTATCCTCTTCTGTATTTTCTTGGGACTGGTTATCGTCGGCTGTGTCTTCCTTAGTGTCATTATCATCGTCTGTGTTTTCTTGGGACTTATTATCTTCAGCTGTGTCTTCATTGGTATCATTTCCATCATCTTCTGGTGTGGCTTCATCTGTGATGCTACGCTTTGATCGAACCTTTTCTTCTGCTGAATCTGTAAAATTTCAAATTATCATAAAAATGCCATAAACCTTAAAAAAATGTCTTTTTACCTTCATTGTCATCAGTTGCTTCTTGTTCCTTTGTATCCTCTTCGGTTTGAGCTGCTTCTTCTGCTGATTTATTTTCATTGTCTTCGTTTGAGTCTCCATCTTCTGCTGCAACATTTTCAGTTTCTTCTACTGATTCAGCCTTTTGTGCTTCTTCTGTAGATTCATCATCTTGCTCGTTGGTTTGGATATCAGCCTCATTTTCCTTTGAGTCATTGCCATCATCAGCTTGAACTTCTTTGGTGTCATTGTCATCGGTATTCTCTTCCTTTGAGTCGTTATCAGCTGCATCCTCTTTTGAATCCTTATCATCAGCAGTAGTATCTTCCTTTGAGTCCTTGTCATTATCTGTAGCTACCTCTTTTGAGTCTGCATCATCAGTTTGTTCTGTAGTGTCATTTTCATTGTCTGATTTCTCTTCATTGCTGTCATTCTCTAAATCCTGTTCCTTTGAATCCTTTCCATCATCATTTTCTTCTCCTGACTTGTTGTCATCATCTTCGGTTGACTTTTGGTCAGTTTCTGCTTCTTGTTCGCCAGATTTTTGATCATCATCCTCCTTTGAATCCTTTCCGTCATCTTCTGCTTCTGTTGACTTATTATCGTCCGTACCCTCTTCTGTGGATTTTTGATCATCAGTAGCTGCTTCTTCTCCTGATTTCTCGTCATCACTACTATCTACTGCCGCTGCCTCTGACGTCGTAACAGTTTCAATACTCGCATCATCTTCTACCGTTTTATCTTCAGTCGAATCATTATCAGTCGCTATCGGTTCAGTATTTTTAAGTTCATGAATTGCCTGTCGACGTAGAAAATGAAAATAAAATATATTTTATGTAAATCATTTACTAATGAGACACTCACCTTCTCAATGTACGGCCTACATTCGTTTTCGGATGGTATTACATCAGCAGTTACATCTAAACAATCAAGCGAAATGAGAAAAAAAATAAATAAAAATGTTGAAATGAAATGTTGCAAAAAGTATCTATTTAATTTATTAGTTTAGACATGCAAATATAATATATTTTTTTCGTACATTTTCTCACAATATCGTGAAAAATTAACTTTTCATTTTATTATTTTGTACGGCTGCAAGTTTTTAAGCCAAGAAAGTGTTGCGATGACAATTTAAATTTAATTTTTAATATACAAAAAATTGAGGTTTGTTCTACACAATCTTTTGATCGTACTTTATGTGGTTTTGCGTACGACTTTTTCGGTGCTGACTCACAAAAAGATTAAAATATGAGTTCAAATTGTGTTCATGACAAAAGTCTCGTACGAATGATTTGGTATTTTTAAAAATGTGGAGATTATGAATAATATTGGCTGTTGTTTGCTCATTTTTCTATTGATCTATATTTTTATTATAGATTTTAAGAGATTACTCATAACCTTTTGTGATTTGCTAGCAAAGTAGAATTTTGGCATCAAGTCAGATGTAGGTAATTTTACTAATGTTAGAGGTAGGTCTTGTGTTGGTCAAATAGAAAATTATATTTATAAAGTTGTAACCCATCTTTCTTGGCAAAGATTTCGGTTCAATGCTTATTAAAGATCAGAACATTTATAAATTATTTAATCTGAAAGAATCGTTGATATAATAATGAAATTTACTAATTCTTCATGACATAAGGACTTTTCAAACAGCAATCAAAATCATGAATTATAAAATGTTTTGATTTTTGAAATATTCTCAATTCTGTTGAAAGATTTAAGCTGATTTGAAATTCGATTAAAATCCAAAACTTTTAGTTGAACCAGAATCAGTTATGATAAAGCAATCCACAAACGTTATTGCCTCGTAACATTTTAAATGGCATTTTAAAGATTTAGCGATACTCTTTTAAGATTAAACCAAAATAGAATCAAAAATAAACCATGATTAAATCAAAATTCTGGCTACAAAATTTTTCAAAAAGTCAAATATTTTGTTTGAAACTCAAAAGAGTTTATTATGATTTGGAACTTTATACTAAAGTTAAGTTAAGTTTTATACAAAAATCGCAAAAATCATAACTTTTTGAAATCTTGTTGTGCCAGCGATTTTGATTCAATTAGAATTTATTTTTGAATGTTTAACAACTTAAACTTAATTTTATCTTGTCTCAAACTTCATTTTGAATGGGAAATATTGTATGGCTGAAGTCTAAAGAACTTTGCAGCTTTATCAATTAAATTGAAACTCTTTAACCAAAAATTACAACAAACTTTGTTCATCTTCATTTAAAATTTCAATTTTTTATAAAGTTTTACAGCTTTGAACTAAACAATGAGATTAGCTTAAGCAGACCTCTTTAATATATTTCTTAAATCGAAGATCAGTTGTTTATGATAATTTGGACAATTCTTGAAATTATAGCAGAAACAATTTGAACTTATGAGTCAAAACTAGTTATTTAATGTTCCGAATTATCTTATTCAATTTTAAAACAGTTTGATATACATAAACGATTATTGCTTTCGACATTTCGCAAATTTCTTACTAATTGAAACAAGTTTCTCCTTCCTTTCAAGATTAAATAATTGCCGAAGATAATTTTATCTATCCTGAACATTTTCTTTTGAACTGAATCAGTTAAAATAATAATAGACAGATCAATTTATTTAAAATAATAAATTCAAGCATAAACATAACACTTCAATTTTGAAATATTATCACCAGCTGAATATCACTCATGAAAGTCTAGTCTCATAGATTCTAATTAATGATAGAATTCATCTTGAAAATCTTTTTTTTGGCGACCTCACAAGTTGTAAAGATAAAATTTTCTGATAAATTTGCATTCCTAGATCCAGAGATAAATTGGACAAATTTCAAGAGCATCAAACAGAAATTTCCCTTGCTCTACTTCTCGTACATGACGTCACATGAACAAATATTTCTCCTCTTGCTTTATAAAAATACATTTTTTTTTTTCGTGAAAGAAAATTCTGCTCATTTTCTTTTCATATTTAAGAAAAGAAAGAAAAATTCAGCCAAAAAGTCATTGCATAATCCTTCATTCTGTACGAAAATTTCCTCTGTTAATTGTCTGATTATTTCAAATTTAATTTGCATGATCATTAACTTGGTTTAATCGAGGTACCGTGACACTCAGCACACGAACCTCATGCGAATGAAGAAGAAATTCAATGTCACATGATCATTACCAACCACCTTCATTCGCATAGGACGTTCTAATGTAACACTTACCATAAAATGAGACGGCAAATAACACGAGTCCGAGAAAGAGCCATAAACTCCTAATTCGCCCCATGTTTCGTCCCTAAAAATAAGTTTTTTTTAAAGCTACGATAAGTTTCACGCCTTCGCACTAAATTTTATAATTTTTTTTTTTTTTTCTTCACAATACTATAAAAATTAGTCAAAATAGGAAATTTCACTAGCAAGGGGACATCTGAAACGAGGAATGGAAAAATTGAAAAATATCTTTTTATTGGCCTTTCTGATATTTCGACATTAATAAGAAGAAATTTTCTTTTTTTTTCCTTTCGTGTGGCACCAAAAAAATAATGAAGAAAAAAAATGGAAAAAAATACAAACTAGTTCGCGTACTTCGTTCTGTCCCGGCTCAAACCTCAAACCTGAAAGAAAATAAGGAGCATAAAATCGAAAAAATTGCCTAGCAAATTTTTTTCAAAGAAGAAAAACCGCGAGAATATTAAACGAGTTATAAAATTTGTTATTATGCTGGTCAGAAGCGCATTTTCTTTATACTCATGTTATATTGGAAGGCTGTAAAATATCAATAGTTTACTATCAGAATAGGGGGTTGCAATGTGCTCTAAATACTACACTTCTTCCAGGTTAGTTATGTTAATCTAAAACTAGATTAACATAAATCTCCCCCTAAATATCCCCCCCCCCCCAAAAAAACATAAGATTTCATTCAGCGTCAGTCCTCGAAAATTACACTCGTTGAATTTCAGACGTTTACAGCAACAAAGTAACAGACAACAAAACTGACATTATTAAGTATGGTGTCTAATTCGAAACTCCCCCCCCCCCCCCCCATCCTCTATACTTTATTTACTTCCTCTATAGAAATCTTCGACTATAAACAACAAGTGCAAAGGAAAGACTAGTGCTAGGTCCTGAGTTCGATTCCCATTAGATCTTTTGGATAAATCTTATTTCTACGACAGTAACATGCGGTATCAAGCAGACACTGCCAAGACACCATCGACATTTGACTTAGAAAAACGTGTTAAAAACTTATGAGCGAGAGAAGATCTTTAACGGAATACACAGAAGAAAATTTTGAAAATTGAGGAATGCCAGCTCATCTTTACTCTTAAATTTATTTTTATACACAACTGATTTTTTTCATCAAAACAACTTCTTAGCTTCTTTTCTTTTCTTTTCGTGCGAGAACGTTTTGATTTCCATAATTTTATTGGCTTCTCAGCTGAAAAACACTTTGTCGAGAGAATACGCAGACGAGAAAATGAAAATGATGTGAGAGAGAAAGAGAGAAAATTGAGAGGTTGTTGGGGTCTCAAGTGACTTGTTGATTTTCTAGTCTCACAGGTTTGAAGATGATAAAGATTTCAGGATGAACAAAACGAACTTGTCAGCATCAATATAGAATCTCTGACGTCATGAAATTCACTATTAATATAAGTTGGATGATATCCGCTGACTTGATCGAAGATCTCTGAAATTCCAATATTCTACAAATGTAAACCTTATCTCATCCATTTCATTTAAAGACTTCCACTTCTAATCACTCTAAACTTCTTCAAAGTTCCTGTTTCTAAGAATTTTTTTTGAGCTTCAAAATAGTGGATGTTGGTTGGCTGGATGTACTTTTTGGACGATTTATCCATTTACCTGAAGTATGTTTTCCTTAGCTCCTTCCAGATCTTATATCCTTATTTTCATCGTACAAACTTGTGTAACAAGTTCAATGAGAAATGCAACAGCCGAGACACAACAAGCTCCAAACGAAAGATCACGTAATGTTAAAACCTTTGGGAAATCTTTTAAAGGTTGATCTACTCTATATGTGCGATAGTTCAACTTGAATACATGTTGAATGATTACAATCATCAATTTTTTCGAGAATGTATTGAGAGTTTTGAATGCCACTGAACTGTACTGAATGTTATAGTTTTACCGTCATCAATGATAAAATATTCATATAAATCAATAGTTCTGGTGAACATATTAATGCCTTCTTTGAAGAATGACGATATAGGATAAATATCCAGCTGTTCTTCAATATAAATTAAGAATTTCAATGGCTTGGAGTGACGAATCATCAACTTTTGAAAACGATTAAGCTTTTCAAGTTCTTTTAATGATGGCAGAATGATAAAACTTGTTGTAAAAATGAAACAACTTTCAAATCATGTGTTGTTCATGAAAGTCAACTCATAGACAAAACATTGATTGTTGGATGTCAGCAAACTATTTAAAATTGAATCGCGATCACCATCTTGTCCAAAAATCAATAAATCAAACATGTCGTTCTTTTTTATGTATAATAAATCAATAATTTCGTCTAGAACTTTAGAAACAGCTGTTATTTCATCTTGAATTGGATTAATGAGCATTTCACAGTTATTAAAATCAACAAATGAAACTTAAATGCAGCAAAATATTACTAAATGATTGAAATTTGATATTACGAAATCATATTAATCTTTTTTCTTAAATATTAATAGAACAACTTCACAAGCATGTCTGTTCTGGTTAATTTCACTCACTCAAATGCTATATCGTTGGAACTTTCAAACAGAAGCTTGTTGTACTCGAAAGCTTTTCTGAAAACTGGTTAACAAATGAATATGAATGTTTACATTTCTTTAACTCATAGACTGTATACAAAAGGAGCTTATGTGATCCTATTCTTTTACATAAGTTTATTTTAAGTCTATCATTTGTCAATTTCTTCAAAAAACTGTGTCAAAAAATGATGAATTCAAAGATATGATTTAGATTCCAAGAACTTTTTACAAGATATTTTTATTTTTATTTTATACAACTTTAGTAAAGAACAGTTTCCCTGAATTACAAAATGATAATAAAAGAACACTAATATTCCAAAATTGTGGACCTTTCACTCAGATGCAGCATTATTTTTCTGAACATGAAACTTCTTAAAAGTTTCTGATTTTAAATTTTTGGATCCATTTTCTTCGTCAAACATGCTTGGATAAATTTTGCAGTGTTTCACTTGACTTATATAACGTTTTTGTCTCCTTTGAGACCAAGTTGTTTTCATTTTTTCATTATTTTTAAACATCCAAACTATGATTTCAATGAAAAATGCTAAAATAGATATCCCGAAAGTTCCAAGCCAAATGTAAAATCCAAACGCAAGTTCATGTAAAGTGAGAACAGTAGGATTATTTGGTTCAGATAGATGTAAAATTTTTAAATCATAGTTTTCATCAAATATGTGTTGAATGATTCCATTTTCAACAAATTGTTCGATAGTTTTATGAAGCATAGTTGTAAAAAATACGTTTGCATGATATGAAAAACCTAAATGTCTGACATAAAGGTATTGGTTATGAAGCTCAAGCCAATGATAGATTTTTTTGTCATAAGATTCTTGAAAGTGTTGAAAAACTGTCGAAACTGCTAAAGCAACTCTAATTGATCCATTTTGTGAATGATTTGCATATAAATCATAAAAATCATCGAAACTAATATTTTTTAAATTTGACCTGAAAACACGAAGAACAAAATTTTTAGATTAAATCATTAATAAGTAATAGCTTCTAATAACTAGTTTCAACCTAACCTAAAGGTGAATTGATTAGTGGCTAATGAGAATCTCAAATCTTAATTAATTTGAACTATTAACTATATTCTTCTGATCTTTTTGGTGAATTCCAGAACTCAAAGTCTATAGGATTCGAGTCGACTTGAGTTCGAGCTCAGGAATTCAATTAAAACTTTTGAACAATGAAAATAATAGTTTCATAGTTTAAAAATCTTTAAAATTAAAACTAAGCTCAAAATTAAAAAAAAAATCCTTACCCAACTTCTTGATTCATCATTTCTTTATAAGTTAAGTAGTTTTCTGATGTAAAGATCGTATAGTTCCTCTCAATTAAATCATTAAGGCTTTTAGGAGGTGGACGTCTCATAAGTGTTGTCATGAATTCATAAAGTTTACTTTGATAACAAGTTCGGATGATCAAACAGAAAGCAATAAATACGATTAATAGGATTCTAGGAAAATTAGCTTTTGGTAGTACATTTAATGAAATTCCATAGAACGTGCTCATTATGTTAAGTGTTGGAGTTTGAACTCCTTTGCCATAAACTATCTCATGGACATTACTAGAAAATAGATTAATAATGAACACAGCAATAAAAGCAATTAAAAAAGTCACAGAGACACTAATCCATGTTTCATGATCAAATGGCAAAAGTAATTTTTCGTAGATGGTGTATGGCTCCTCAGGCGTTACCAGTAACTTAACTCGATTTTCCAAAAATGGCGGTGTTGATTGAAAAAATAAATTGTATCCATCAAAATGAGAGATGTCGAAATAAACATCAATATTTTTGGACAATCCATTGATCTTAACTACGTAAACTTTATGTTTTTCAATAAGATCTTCTAATGATTTAATTATTACTGGCTGATAGTCATCAATAAAATTGTATTTCTTTGACATTTCTTGAAACACGGTTGGTGCAATGCCAGAAACCTCAAATTTGGTAAACTCTTTATTCACAACGGCGTGATTCCAAATGTTACTATCGGTTGGAACCATAAAAACTAGCTCACATCCATTAAATTCTGTAAACTTTTCAGAATACTTCATTACATTTATCCATTCTAATGATGTTTTGTTGAATTGGTTGAGAATTTTGACATGTGGATAGTTGCAACTTTTCTTTGTGAACCATTCAATTGTTACATAAATCACCGTATCTCCGATATCGAATAAAAAATATTCATATAAAGTCATTTTCCTATCAAACAAATTGATAGGCTCATAGAACAAATCTATAAATGCATACTCATCGACTTGTCCAGTAATGTAAATTAAGAAATGTATTTGAGTTGAATCTTGAAATCTTAGCATATCGCGACTATTTAAATTATTTAAATCGTCTAGCGATGATAAAATTATAAATGTTTGTAATTTAAAAACATGTTTTGGAAGTTTTTTGTACATTTCAAGCTTATACGCTAAAATCTCCTTGCTATGTTTCATGATTCCACTTAAAATAGAATTTACGTCATATTCTTGTCCAATTACTAGCACATCAAAATACTCGCCCTTCTTTAAATACAGCAACTCAATAACATCATAAAGTGCCTTGTAAACTGCTCTAGTTTCATTCTGTATCAATATGTTCATCTTTGACTGAATTAAGGTCACCTCAATGTACAAAACTATGACGTAGCTGTAAATCAACATATTTTCCTTTTGAGTGCTGACTCGTTGAATGTTTAAACTGATCTGACTCTTCTTCTCTAGTTTCAGATGCTTAAATGCTCAATCCGTAAAGCTTTTTAATAAACCTGTCTAAAAGCTCTTAGATATTTTCTTGTACAACTTTCTGAAAGCTCTATCTTTTTCCTTAATTCATGCTTATTCGCATATTTAATGTTAATTTTCGTAAGCTTTCATTTTCTCATGCATGACATCTTTAAATCTGAATGGTTCACGTATAGTGGCATGGTTTCGGCAAGTTCACTCGGAAGTGATAAAGTTGTTGATTCGAATGAAATCCAATCACCTTTTATGGATCTAATATTTGGATTACTGGAATCACATTAATAGCTTTTGTAAGAACTGGATCTATCTTTTATTTTAAAAGCTTATGTCATAGATATGGTCATACACTGATCATAGATTTTTGTTGTGTTTTCAAGATTTTTCTATTGGTTGCATCACTATCAATGGTCGGGTCTAGCTCAAATTTTGTCCTGCTCATGTTCACATTTGGTTTACCCCAGGTTTATCAGTACTGAGTCAGTGCTTCTAAATTAATTTCGGTTGTTAAGCGTTCAATATTGTGGCTGGTTTAGGCCATTTCTTGCTAGATGTTGAATTATTTTTGTGAACTTTGAACTTTTTTAAAGTTGCTGGTTTAATAATATCGTTTTGAGTTTGGCTACTATCAAACATACTTGGATATACTTTACAATATTTTACTCGTTTATGATACTTTTGATATTTTTTGTTATCTTTTCCAGCACTTCTTGATTTTCTATTTTTAAGCATCCACACTGAGATCTCAATTATAAATACCACAATTGAGATCCCGAAAGTTGCAAGCCAGATATAAAATCCAAACGCAAGAGCATGTAATGTGAGAACAGTCGGAGAGTTTTGTTCAAACCGGAAAGAAAATTTCCTGTTATAATTTGTATCAAAAAGATGTTGAAGAATTCCCGACGAAATAAATTGATTGACAGTTTGTTGCAGAGCAGTTGAGAAAAAAGTGAGTCCATAATATGCAAATCCATAATGATTAACGAAGAGAAGTTGATTGTTCAGTTCAAGCCAATGATAGCTTTTTTTGTCAACAGATTCTTGAAAATGTTGAAATACTGACGAAACTGGTAAGGCAGCTCTAATTGATTCGTTTTGTGAATAATTAGCATATAAATTAAGGAACTCATTGAAATTAGCATTTTTATAATTCACCCTGAAAACATTAATGTTTAAGTACGAGATTATGTTCAAAAAAAAAAGGATCTTACCCAACTTCATCAATCATATATTCTTTATAAAATATGTGATTTTCATGTACGTATAACGTGTAGTTCCTCTTAATTAAATCATCCAAGCTCTGTGGAGGTGGTCGTCTCATCAGTGTTGTCATGAACTCAAACAGTTTACTTTGATAACAAGTCCGAATGACTAAGCAAAAAAAGATGAATAACATAAGAAGAACTCGTGGAAAGTATTTTCTTGGTAAAACATTTAATGATATTCCAAAGAACGTGCTCAATATGTTCAGTGCTGGCGTGTCAACTCCTTTACCATAAACTAGCTCATGAATATTATCAGAAAATAGATTAATGATGAACACAGTCACAAAGGCAATTAAAAAAGTGACACAGATACTAATCCATGTTTGATGATCGAATGGCAAAAGTAATTTTTCGTAGATGGTGTATGGCTCTTCAGGCGTAAGCAACAATTTAATCTGATTCTCCAGAAATGGTGTTGTCGTATGATAAAATACATCACGATATGTAATTTGAAAGATATCAAAATATACAAGCGGAACTTTAAAGTCGTTGTTAATATGAATTATGGCAATTTTGTTGGTCATAAGGAATTCTTCGTTTGACTTAATACTGACTGGCTGATAATCATCAATGAAATTGAATCTTGTTGACATTTCTTGAAATACAATCGGAGCAATTCCAAAAATTTCAAATTTTGTAGCATCTTTGTTCACAACTGCGCGATTCCATCGGTTACTGTCGATTGGAACCATAAACACTATCTCACATCCATAAAAGTCAATAAATTTATCGGAATAATTCAGTAAATTTTCCCATTTCAATAATGTTTTACTGAATCGATTGAGAATTTTGAGAACTGGAAGGTTGCAATGAATATCATTAAACCATTCAATTGTGGCATAAATGATTGTTTTTCCGTTATCGAAAACAAAATATTCATACATGCTGATATTCTTATGGAACATATTGAGAGATTCTGAAAACAAGTGATTCAATGCATACTCTTTAACTTGTTGATCTATGTAAATCAAATACTTTAAAACTGTCGGTTCCTTATAATAAAGAAAATGTTTCTTATTTAAAGCTACAATGTCATTTAATGATGTTAATATGATGACTGATGGTCTGTCAGATGCAAATATTCCTTTTTCAGATGTTCTCACAAAATACTACAATAATCTTATGTCATGTGACACGATGAAATTCAAAACTGCACTTTTATTATAAAAATTGTTTTGTCCATAAATTGTTATATCAAATAATTCGCCCTGTTTTATATACAATAACTCAATAACATCATAAAGCGCTTTGAAAATCGCTGGATTTTCCTGTTGAATCAGAGGTTCCATCTTTGAATGAATCAAGGTCACTAGCGCACACACTTTTATGAATTTACTATAAATTAACATTTTTCTTTTCTGTCTATTATCCTTTTAAGTGTTGATTCTTTGAACGTTCCAACTGATCTGACTTTACGTCTCCAATTTCAGACTGTAACTCACTGCTTTTTAGGAAAAGCTCTATAAAAAGCTTCCGAAAGTTCAAGCTTGTTAACTTTTCTTGTACAACTTTCTGAAAGCTTTATCCTTTTCCTTAATAATTTAATCCATGCTTTTTCGCATATTTAATGCTAATTTTCGTAAGCTTTCATTTTTCTCATGCATGACATCTTTAAATCTGAATGTATCACGTATAGTGAGTGGCATGTTTCGGCAAGCTCACTCGGAAGTGGTAAAATTGTTGATTCGAATGAAATCTTATCACATTTTATGGATCTAATATTTGGTTTACTGGAATCACATTAATTATTTGTGTAAAAACTGGATCTATCTTTGATTGCAAAACTTGAATGGTCGTCCAAGTATTGCTAGAGATGAGATGAGATAAAATTAACTTGAATGTTGATCCAAGCTTGTTAAGACGACTTGAGCATGATAAAACTTGATTTCTTAATTCATACTCTCAATACTATGAGAGAGTTCTGCCCTCTCGACAAAAATTCATGTTTGAGTTGCTTCTTGCGAATTTAATAAAGAATTTGAGTTGTTGCTATGCAAGCTTGTATGATGATTCTCTTCACAAACTTTACACCTTGAATTACTATTGCAATCTTGCTTGCTGTGTCCAGGTCTAAGACAGTTCATACACAATTTGTATTTTGAAGCTATTTTGAGTCTTCCTTCTTGATTTTCTTTTCTGAATATTTCGCACTGATAGACTCGATGACTACTAGAGCACAATTTGCATTTTTCAATTTGCACATTCTTGTTTACTACGAGTGATGCCTTACTTGACTGTGATGTGATACTTTCATCAGATAACGATTTGAACAATCCAAAAGAATTCCATTCTCGATAAGTGAATGCCAATGATTTTATACGTTGATCCATGAATTTACAGAAAGCAGTCCAACTTGGCTTTTCTCATGAGATTTTTATCAAAACGATTCCTGACAAATTGTTCAAAAATCATGTCCAATAATTCTTCTGGTGTAACTTTCATCAAATTGAATGCTGCACGATGACTGATGTAAGTATCTAGGACTCTCCTTGCTTCTGATAAGGAACCATCAATAGGACCACTAATTGTCATATGAGAATTTGTTTATTGCATCAACAAAACTCTTCGATCGTCAAATCTTCGACATAACGCTTCCCAGGCAGATTTGTAATTGTCTCCTTAGAATTGATAGTTGTTCAATATATTTTGAGATTCTGGCTGAATGTTCACTGATGACAAGTAATGGAATTTGTCAATGTCTGAATACATTGGGTTTGAATGTATCAAGGAGATATAAGTATCTTTAAAAGATATCCAATTACTAAATTCTCCATTGAATTCTGGAAGTTTTATTTCAGGAAGTTTCAGTCTTCTTGTTGATGATGTCGATGGTTGAATTGCGTTTACTTTGACTTCTAAACGTCTCTCTTGCTCTTTCTTCAGAGTTTCTATCTTTACTGCTAACTCAAATGTTGTAATAACTGCAAGTTTCTTGAACAAAGTAAACTTCTGAGTTTCAACATCATTTTCTCGTTTTCGATGTAACAGTTCAAATTCAATGAACACTTCGTTGAATTCATCTAACATGTCTTTGAACACATCATGATACACTTTTGCTTCTTCAAAATTTGTTTCTTCCTTTAACATGTCATAAGTGCTTTTTATGCTTTCAAAATCTTCGATTATTGAATTCAGCTTTGCTTTCTTTCCTTCATATGTATTCATTATTGCTTATTCTTGTTGAACTTTGCTTCAACAAATCTGCCAGCTTCAACTTGAACTTTCTTCAAATTTTCCAATTTCTTTCAAGACTTTCTAAGTCTACTCCACGTCTTGTTTCACTGTTTCAATCTCAAGGTTCGAAGGACCAATAAAAAATGTTGTTATAAGGTTTAAGAATGAGTGGACTGTATTTCAATGACTATTTCGAACAATGGTACAATTGCAACTAAAATCAAACTAATTTTACAATATTTTCAAAGATATCTGCGATCATTTCTTTCTTAATAATAAAATGTTGATTCACCATGCAACAAATAGCCTACTATGATCAAAACCAAAAATGCTTTAAATTGCATTTTAAAACATATCTAGGTATTATAAATGATAAAGAATGCTAATATAGATATAAATTCGATATTTTTTTTTTGAAAAAAGCCTACTATGATCAAAACCAAAAATGCTTTAAATTGCATTTTAAAACATATCTAGGCATTATAAATGATAAAAAATGCTAATATAGATATAAAATCGATATTTTTTTGAAACTAGCCTACTATGATCAAAACCAAAAATGCTTTAAATTGCATTTTAAAACATATCTAGGTATTATAAATGATAATAAATGCTAATATAGATATAAATTCGATATTTTTTTTGAAAATAGCCTACTATGATCAAAACCAAAAATGCTTTAAATTGCATTTTAAAACATATCTAGGTATTATAAATGATAATAAATGCTAATATAGATATAAATTCGATATTTTTTTTGAAAATAGCCTACTATGATCGAGACCAAAAATGCTTTAAATTGCATTTTAAACGTATCTAGGTATTATAAATGATAAAAAATGCTAATGTAGATATAAAATCGATATTTTTTTGAAACTAGCCTACTATGATCGAGACCAAAAATGCTTTAAATTGCATTTTAAACGTATCTAGGTATTATAAATGATAAAGAATGCTAATATAGATATATAATCGATATTTTTTTTGAAAATAGCCTACTATGATCAAAACCAAAAATGCTTTAAATTGCATTTTAAAACATATCTAGGTATTATAAATGATAATAAATGCTAATATAGATATAAATTCGATATTTTTTTTGAAAATAGCCTACTATGATCGAGACCAAAAATGCTTTAAATTGCATTTTAAACGTATCTAGGTATTATAAATGATAAAGAATGCTAATACAGATATAAAATCGATATTTTTTTGAAAATAGCCTACTATGATCGAGACCAAAAATGCTTTAAATTGCATTTTAAACGTATCTAGGTATTATAAATGATAAAAAATGCTAATATAGATATAAAATCGATATTTTGTAACGGAAGATTGAGATTTGAATAATATCTCGAGAGCTTTTTTTTATCTTCAAATAAAATTAACATCGTGTTATTTTAAAAAATGTGAATTAAAATATTAATAAGGCGAATAAAACTGCGAAATATATAATTAAACAATTACAACACATTCAGGCGTATTAAACAATTCAAATTGAGCTAAATCTTTATTTAATTTCAGCGATATTGACAAAAATATATATTTAAAGGTTTTATCACCTAAGGTGTTAAATTATCATCCCTTAGAGCCTTTAAATATATCTATGGCGTTTAATTAAAATTCTATGGCGTTAAAAAAATATTAAAACCCACTTAAAAATATAAATTAAGTAAAAAAATTATTTATTTAAATGTTATTTGAACGCTTTTGCCGAAGAACGTGACGTGAAAAAACTGTCATTTGGAATTTGAAAATGATTTGACCGATTTTTACAAAACAAAGAAATTTTTTTTTTGTTTACACACGTAAAATTAAATTTTATTATTTTTTTATTGTACTTTAATTCAAAATGGTTAGAGAAAAACAACAAACAAGTGAACTGAACACTCAAGGATGTATTAATTCAATCAATTATTGGCAAATTTATTAGTATAAGAAAAATCACTAATTTTATTGTAAGAATAACCGTTGATCAGTTTTAAAAAAATTTCTTTGTTTTGTAAAAATCGGTTAAATCATTTTCAAATTCCAAATGACCGTTTTTTCACGTCACGTTCTTCGGCAAAAGCGTTCATTTATTGGTTAAATCATTGTTGAACATTGAATGTCCATCATTGAGCCACAACAATCGTTAATCAAGTTTTATCACCCATGCAGTAACGCATGGAGTCTTGATTTGGGTCGAAACAAGCATTTTAATCCTGTACTACGACTGGATTTCACTCCATTTACAAGATTAGATCCAGTGAGTCATCGAATCATCCCATCTTTCAAGTTTAAAGTCAAATTGGATGATCCTTTAGAGATAGCATCGCTTGATTTCATCAATTCGTTAGCAGAGTCATTTGAGATATCTCTAAATAGTACAGTGTTGCAAGTTCATCCATTAATTAATGTAGCCAAGTGGAAATTTAGTCGAGACACAAACCGGAATCAAATTCAAAAGTTTCCGTTACAGATTGATCACGTGTTAAGATTATTAAGACCTAAATTTCGTGCTACAATTTTTTTGAAAATAGCCTACTATGATCGAGACCAAAAATGCTTTAAATTGCATTTTAAAACATATCTAGGTATTATAAATGATAATAAATGCTAATATAGATATAAATTCGATATTTTTTTTGAAAATAGCCTACTATGATCGAGACCAAAAATGCTTTAAATTGCATTTTAAACGTATCTAGGTATTATAAATGATAAAGAATGCTAATACAGATATAAAATCGATATTTTTTTGAAACTAGCCTACTATGATCAAAACCAAAAATGCTTTAAATTGCATTTTAAACGTATCTAGGTATTATAAATGATAAAGAATGCTAATACAGATATAAAATCGATATTTTTTTGAAACTAGCCTACTATGATCAAAACCAAAAATGCTTTAAATTGCATTTTAAACGTATCTAGGTATTATAAATGATAAAGAATGCTAATACAGATATAAAATCGATATTTTTTTGAAACTAGCCTACTATGATCAAAACCAAAAATGCTTTAAATTGCATTTTAAAACATATCTAGGTATTATAAATGATAAAGAATGCTAATAAAGATATAAAATCGATATTTTTTTTGAAACTAGCCTACTATGATCAAAACCAAAAATGCTTTAAATTGCATTTTAAAACATATCTAGGTATTATAAATGATAAAGAATGATAATATAGATATAAATTCGATATTTTTTTTGAAAAAAGCCTACTATGATCAAAACCAAAAATGCTTTAAATTGCATTTTAAAACATATCTAGGCATTATAAATGATAAAAAATGCTAATATAGATATAAAATCGAAATTTTTTTTTGAAACTAGCCTACTATGATCAAAACCAAAAATGCTTTAAATTGCATTTTAAAACATATCTAGGTATTATAAATGATAATAAATGCTAATATAGATATAAATTCGATATTTTTTTTGAAAATAGCCTACTATGATCAAAACCAAAAATGCTTTAAATTGCATTTTAAAACATATCTAGGCATTATAAATGATAAAAAATGCTAATATAGATATAAAATCGATATTTTTTTGAAACTAGCCTACTATGATCAAAACCAAAAATGCTTTAAATTGCATTTTAAAACATATCTAGGTATTATAAATGATAATAAATGCTAATATAGATATAAATTCGATATTTTTTTTGAAAATAGCCTACTATGATCGAGACCAAAAATGCTTTTAATTGCATTTTAAACGTATCTAGGTATTATAAATGATAAAGAATGCTAATACAGATATAAAATCGATATTTTTTTGAAACTAGCCTACTATGATCGAGACCAAAAATGCTTTAAATTGCATTTTAAACGTATCTAGGTATTATAAATGATAAAGAATGCTAATACAGATATAAAATCGATATTTTTTTGAAAATAGCCTACTATGATCGAGACCAAAAATGCTTTAAATTGCATTTTAAACGTATCTAGGTATTATAAATAATAAAAAATGCTAATATAGATATAAAATCGATATTTTTTTGAAAATAGCCTACTATGATCGAGACCAAAAATGCTTTAAATTGCATTTTAAACGTATCTAGGTATTATAAATGATAAAGAATGCTAATATAGATATAAAATCGATATTTTTTTTAAAATAGCCTACTATGATCGAGACCAAAAATGCTTTAAATTGCATTTTAAACGTATCTAGGTATTATAAATGATAAAGAATGCTAATATAGATATATAATCGATATTTTTTTTGAAAATAGCCTCCTATGATCGAGACCAAAAATGCTTTAAATTGCATTTTAAAACATATCTAGGTATTATAAATGATAAAGAATGCTAATACAGATATAAAATCGATATTTTTTTGAAACTAGCCTCCTATGATCAAAACCAAAAATGCTTTAAATTGCATTTTAAAACATATCTAGGTATTATAAATGATAAAGAATGCTAATATAGATATAAATTCGATATTTTTTTTGAAAATAGCCTACTATGATCGAGACCAAAAATGCTTTAAATTGCATTTTAAAACATATCTAGGTATTATAAATGATAAAGAATGCTAATATAGATATAATTTCGATATTTTTTTTGAAACTAGCCTACTATGATCAAAACCAAAAATGCTTTAAATTGCATTTTAAAACATATCTAGATATTATAAATGATAAAGAATGCTAATACAGATATAAAATCGATATTTTTTTGAAACTAGCCTACTATGATCAAAACCAAAAATGCTTTAAATTGCATTTTAAAACAAATCTAGGTATTATAAATGATAATAAATGCTAATATAGATATAAATTCGATATTTTTTTTGAAAATAGCCTACTATGATCAAAACCAAAAATGCTTTAAATTGCATTTTAAAACATATCTAGGTATTATAAATGATAAAGAATGCTAATATAGATATAAATTCGATATTTTTTTTGAAAAAAGCCTACTATGATCAAAACCAAAAATGCTTTAAATTGCATTTTAAAACATATCTAGGTATTATAAATGATAATAAATGCTAATATAGATATAAATTCGATATTTTTTTTGAAAATAGCCTACTATGATCAAAACCAAAAATGCTTTAAATTGCATTTTAAAACATATCTAGGTATTATAAATGATAATAAATGCTAATATAGATATAAATTCGATATTTTTTTTGAAAATAGCCTACTATGATCGAGACCAAAAATGCTTTAAATTGCATTTTAAACGTATCTAGGTATTATAAATGATAAAGAATGCTAATATAGATATATAATCGATATTTTTTTTGAAAAAAGCCTACTATGATCGAGACCAAAAATGCTTTAAATTGCATTTTAAACGTATCTAGGTATTATAAATGATAAAAAATGCTAATATAGATATAAAATCGATATTTTTTTGAAAATAGCCTACTATGATCGAGACCAAAAATGCTTTAAATTGCATTTTAAACGTATCTAGGTATTATAAATGATAAAGAATGCTAATATAGATATATAATCGATATTTTTTTTGAAAAAAGCCTACTATGATCAAAACCAAAAATGCTTTAAATTGCATTTCAAAACATATCTAGGTATTATAAATGATAATAAATGCTAATATAGATATAAATTCGATATTTTTTTTGAAAAAAGCCTACTATGATCGAGACCAAAAATGCTTTAAATTGCATTTTAAACGTATCTAGGTATTATAAATGATAAAGAATGCTAATACAGATATAAAATCGATATTTTTTTGAAAATAGCCTACTATGATCGAGACCAAAAATGCTTTAAATTGCATTTTAAACGTATCTAGGTATTATAAATAATAAAAAATGCTAATATAGATATAAAATCGATATTTTTTTGAAAATAGCCTACTATGATCGAGACCAAAAATGCTTTAAATTGCATTTTAATCGTATCTAGGTATTATAAATGATAAAGAATGCTAATACAGATATAAAATCGATATTTTTTTTGAAAATAGCCTACTATGATCAAAACCAAAAATGCTTTAAATTGCATTTTAAAACATATCTAGGTATTATAAATGATAAAAAATGCTAATATAGATATAAAATCGATATTTTTTTTAAAATAGCCTACTATGATCGAGACCAAAAATGCTTTAAATTGCATTTTAAACGTATCTAGGTATTATAAATGATAAAGAATGCTAATATAGATATATAATCGATATTTTTTTTGAAAATAGCCTCCTATGATCGAGACCAAAAATGCTTTAAATTGCATTTTAAAACATATCTAGGTATTATAAATGATAAAGAATGCTAATACAGATATAAAATCGATATTTTTTTGAAACTAGCCTCCTATGATCAAAACCAAAAATGCTTTAAATTGCAATTTAAAACATATCTAGGTATTATAAATGATAAAGAATGCTAATATAGATATAAATTCGATATTTTTTTTGAAAATAGCCTACTATGATCGAGACCAAAAATGCTTTAAATTGCATTTTAAAACATATCTAGGTATTATAAATGATAAAGAATGCTAATACAGATATAAAATCCAAGGCCATAGAACTCCTTGCACTATGTCTACAATCACTACTTTTTTACTCAACTTTATAAATTTTTACTTATGTTTCAGTACACTTACTATACAATGTATCACAATCACTGCAATTACTAAACTTTACTGCACTTAACTCTTTTTTACTACTCTTTACTTTACTTAAGTACATTAACCTATACTTTACTACACTTTACTTTACTTTACTTTACTTTAGTATACTTAAGTACATTTTGCTTATCTTTACTACCCTTTACTACACTTTAGTGCACTTTACTCGTACTTTTCTGTACTTTATTTTTAATCAAATTAATTAGTGCATAATTTCAATCTAAATAGTTGTAGGCCTCTTAAACATGTGGTCCATTAATACGTTGTAATCATACTTTCAAAAAACAAAAAATAAAATAAAAGATTTTGCAATCATTATAAAAATTTAAAAGAAAATGTTTAAAAACTTAACTAAAGGTTATAGAATTTAAAATATTATTTTTTTATTTTTTTATTATTCTATCATTTTAAACCATATTTAGCTGATGGAAAAGAAAGAGCTTACAAAAACATAAAGCACTAATGCTACTAAGGCAGAAATAGTTTCATTCATGTCAAAGAAATTTCTAATTGATACCTTTAGTTTGTAAGGAAATTTGTCAAAAATAAAATAAAAGTATAGTATAGAAAAATCGAAAAATTTAAAAAAAAATCTAAAATGTTGTGCTTTTGTTTTTAAAAATGAGTAATTTTAATTGAAAAAATTTTTAAAAAATTATGAAAAATTTTAATTCGAATTGACTCGAATTTGATTTTTTCACGTAAGCTTATATTAAAAAAACTAATGAGGACGATTTGTGTTAAGTTTAAATTTTTAAAAAAAGCTATAAATACAAGCTTCATATAAATTAGTTTCAATTTATTTGCATTTCGAAATTGAATGAAGGGACTGTAGAAAAACAATATTTTAAATTTATTTTGTAATAATATGTTGGCTTTTTATTTCAACAAGATTAACTTTCCAAAAAAAACTTTTTAAAAATATATATCAAAAGTGTTGATAACATTTAATTTTTTCTAAAACCAACAATATCAAAAACATTGATTCTCACTATTCTTTCGTTACTATTCTTCGTAATTAGGAAGGCATCCTTAATGTTGAAATATTTGAAATAGTTCAATAGTTTTATTTTTTACATGAGAAAAGCTTCATTTATATTTACATTTTAAATATATTTTATATATAAAATTTCAAATAATAAGCGGTTCTTAAGTTGCGATAATATTGACTATTTATAAATAAATTGAATGGTAAAATAAACATTACTTCAAAATCAATTCAAAATCAACTTTAAACATTTTGGTTTTTAAAGTTTTAAACAGTTTTATGTTGCTGCACTTTCTATACTTTTACTACACTTGCTATACTCTCACTATACTGACTATACTTTTACAACACTTTACTACACTTAAACTACACTTGCTACACTTTTGCTACACTTTGCTACATTCTACTATGCTTTGGTTAACTTTGCTTCACTTTACAATATTTAACTATACTTTGCTCATGTTAACTTAATTTTGCGCAATAGTTTGTATACGTTACTGCACAATGCTCACTCACGGGTATACTATTTTGGGAGTTCTATGGCCTTGATAAAATCGATATTTTTTTGAAACTAGCCTCCTATGATCAAAACCAAAAATGCTTTAAATTGCATTTTAAAACATATCTAGGTATTATAAATGATAAAGAATGCTAATACAGATATAAAATCGATATTTTTTTGAAACTAGCCTACTATGATCAAAACCAAAAATGCTTTAAATTGCATTTTAAAACATATCTAGGTATTATAAATGATAAAGAATGCTAATAAAGATATAAAATCGATATTTTTTTTGAAACTAGCCTACTATGATCAAAACCAAAAATGCTTTAAATTGCATTTTAAAACATATCTAGATATTATAAATGATAAAGAATGCTAATACAGATATAAAATCGATATTTTTTTGAAACTAGCCTACTATGATCAAAACCAAAAATGCTTTAAATTGCATTTTAAAACATATCTAGGTATTATAAATGATAAAGAATGCTAATAAAGATATAAAATCGATATTTTTTTTGAAACTAGCCTACTATGATCAAAACCAAAAATGCTTTAAATTGCATTTTAAAACATATCTAGGTATTATAAATGATAAAGAATGCTAATACAGATATAAAATCGATATTTTTTTGAAACTAGCCTACTATGATCAAAACCAAAAATGCTTTAAATTGCATTTTAAAACATATCTAGGTATTATAAATGATAAAGAATGCTAATAAAGATATAAAATCGATATTTTTTTGAAACTAGCCTACTATGATCAAAACCAAAAATGCTTTAAATTGCATTTTAAAACATATCTATTTATTTTAAATGATAAAGAATGCTAATACAGATATAAAATCGATATTTTTTTGAAACTAGCCTACTATGATCAAAACCAAAAATGCTTCAAATTGCATTTTAAAACATATCTAGGTATTATAAATGATAAAGAATGCTAATACAGATATAAAATCGATATTTTTTTGAAACTAGCCTACTATGATCAAAACCAAAAATGCTTTAAATTGCATTTTAAAACATATCTAGGTATTATAAATGATAAAGAATGCTAATACAGATATAAAATCGATATTTTTTTGAAACTAGCCTACTATGATCAAAACCAAAAATGCTTTTAATTGCATTTTAAAACATATCTGATATTATAAATGATAAAGAATGCTAATACAGATATAAAATCGATATTTTTTTGAAACTAGCCTACTATGATCAAAACCAAAAATGCTTTAAATTGCATTTTAAAACATATCTATTTATTTTAAATGATAAAGAATGCTAATACAGATATAAAATCGATATTTTTTTGAAACTAGCCTACTATGATCAAAACCAAAAATGCTTTAAATTGCATTTTAAAACATATCTAGGTATTATAAATGATAAAGAATGCTAATACAGATATAAAATCGATATTTTTTTGAAACTAGCCTACTATGATCAAAACCAAAAATGCTTTAAATTGCATTTTAAAACATATCTAGGTATTATAAATGATAAAGAATGCTAATAAAGATATAAAATCGATATTTTTTTGAAACTAGCCTACTATGATCAAAACCAAAAATGCTTTAAATTGCATTTTAAAACATATCTATTTATTTTAAATGATAAAGAATGCTAATACAGATATAAAATCGATATTTTTTTGAAACTAGCCTACTATGATCAAAACCAAAAATGCTTCAAATTGCATTTTAAAACATATCTAGGTATTATAAATGATAAAGAATGCTAATACAGATATAAAATCGATATTTTTTTGAAACTAGCCTACTATGATCAAAACCAAAAATGCTTTAAATTGCATTTTAAAACATATCTAGGTATTATAAATGATAAAGAATGCTAATAAAGATATAAAATCGATATTTTTTTGAAACTAGCCTACTATGATCAAAACCAAAAATGCTTTAAATTGCATTTTAAAACATATCTATTTATTTTAAATGATAAAGAATGCTAATACAGATATAAAATCGATATTTTTTTGAAACTAGCCTACTATGATCAAAACCAAAAATGCTTCAAATTGCATTTTAAAACATATCTAGGTATTATAAATGATAAAGAATGCTAATACAGATATAAAATCGATATTTTTTTGAAACTAGCCTACTATGATCAAAACCAAAAATGCTTTAAATTGCATTTTAAAACATATCTAGGTATTATAAATGATAAAGAATGCTAATACAGATATAAAATCGATATTTTTTTGAAACTAGCCTACTATGATCAAAACCAAAAATGCTTTTAATTGCATTTTAAAACATATCTGATATTATAAATGATAAAGAATGCTAATACAGATATAAAATCGATATTTTTTTGAAACTAGCCTACTATGATCAAAACCAAAAATGCTTTAAATTGCATTTTAAAACATATCTATTTATTTTAAATGATAAAGAATGCTAATACAGATATAAAATCGATATTTTTTTGAAACTAGCCTACTATGATCAAAACCAAAAATGCTTCAAATTGCATTTTAAAACATATCTAGGTATTATAAATGATAAAGAATGCTAATACAGATATAAAATCGATATTTTTTTGAAACTAGCCTACTATGATCAAAACCAAAAATGCTTTAAATTGCATTTTAAAACATATCTAGGTATTATAAATGATAAAGAATGCTAATACAGATATAAAATCGATATTTTTTTGAAACTAGCCTACTATGATCAAAACCAAAAATGCTTTTAATTGCATTTTAAAACATATCTGATATTATAAATGATAAAGAATGCTAATACAGATATAAAATCGATATTTTTTTGAAACTAGCCTACTATGATCAAAACCAAAAATGCTTTAAATTGCATTTTAAAACATATCTATTTATTTTAAATGATAAAGAATGCTAATACAGATATAAAATCGATATTTTTTTGAAACTAGCCTACTATGATCAAAACCAAAAATGCTTTAAATTGCATTTTAAAACATATCTAGGTATTATAAATGATAAAGAATGCTAATACAGATATAAAATCGATATTTTTTTGAAACTAGCCTACTATGATCAAAACCAAAAATGCTTTAAATTGCATTTTAAAACATATCTAGGTATTATAAATGATAAAGAATGCTAATAAAGATATAAAATCGATATTTTTTTTGAAACTAGCCTACTATGATCAAAACCAAAAATGCTTTAAATTGCATTTTAAAACATATCTAGATATTATAAATGATAAAGAATGCTAATACAGATATAAAATCGATATTTTTTTGAAACTAGCCTACTATGATCAAAACCAAAAATGCTTTAAATTGCATTTTAAAACATATCTAGGTATTATAAATGATAAAGAATGCTAATAAAGATATAAAATCGATATTTTTTTTGAAACTAGCCTACTATGATCAAAACCAAAAATGCTTTAAATTGCATTTTAAAACATATCTAGGTATTATAAATGATAAAGAATGCTAATACAGATATAAAATCGATATTTTTTTGAAACTAGCCTACTATGATCAAAACCAAAAATGCTTTAAATTGCATTTTAAAACATATCTAGGTATTATAAATGATAAAGAATGC